CCCCCCCCAATGGTTTAGAGCCCATGTTAAATTGTAGGGTCCCTCTGCTGACCAGCACTATCATGATTACCCTATCATGGGTGGTGAGGTTATTGTCTTCCACCTCAGATGCTTTCAGTAGAACATTTTGATATATACGTGTTGTTTTGACTTCCTTTTCTCCCTTTCTCTATGTGACAGTTTGTAACTAGCCAACATATTGTGACATTTGAGTGTGTAAATACTTTGTACCTGATATAGTTTGTTGTGCAGGCATAGAATGTGGCAAAATGGTTCATTTTGCAGATAGTTTGCATGAATTAGGAAGAAACATACCTCAAAATTATTATTGTCCCATTGTACTTTTGTTAAAATATTTTGTGTTAATCATTTCAGTCCCTACAACTTTAATGTTCTGTAGCATGCCCATTTCTGGTTATTGGTTGTATGAGTAAGTTGCATTGGAAAATGGAATGTTACATATTTTTATTATTTCACAAAATAACAGATTCAACTATATATGGATCATACCCTTCTTTAAGGCTGAAACTTCAGGATGAAAGGATTTTACGTGTTACTTGGAAACATGGCCACATTCTGTAAGATCCTAAAATACTGTGACTTTAATGTTGTCTCTATTTCTCATTTCAGATACCAGTCTCATGAATTTCATGGAAAGGGACCTGGCAAAAATAAAGTGGGGAAGCGAATGAAGAAAACTGAACAGGAGGGAGTGAGTATCAGTCCAGATCTGGTCATGGGCTCTTATTTCTAATACAAGCTGGAAGGTCATGGGCTCAAGTCCCGATGAAGTCATTGGATTTTTTTCAATTGACCTGATCCTTCCAGCCGCACTATAGCCCTGAAGTTTACTCACCCTGTAATGGAAATGAGTACCAGGAATATTCTTGGGGGTAAAGGGCAGCCGGCGCATAGGGCTGACAACCTTACCACCATCTGTAAGCTGATTGTCTAGAATATGTGGGAACCTCAACATCTCACAACTCTATGGGCCCCCACGTCCTGTTACAGGGATACCTTTACTTTACTTTAGTATATTGTAGCACCTTGTTGCACTTCATTTAGTACAAAATTGTTTCACAGTCTCACATGCAGCATGTCCTTCTGTAAAACTTCCTAAAAGTAATTCACTACATGTTTTGACCTATAAGGTCCATTATCAGGTGTTTTAAAATTATAAATGAGGAAACTGCTGTGCTACCATATTCTGGTTGTTGGTCTTCACTATGCGGTCCCTTCTGTGTGCATGTATATACGAAATGGTGGGTTGTTATGCTGCGTGTCTCTTGCACTGCATGACACAGCAAGCAGATCAGTCAGCCACTTCGTAAAAAAAAATTGCATTCATTAACTGACAGACTTAGACACGAGAACACAGATTACTAGATGAAACCAGTGAACTCAATTCAAAATTTGTCTAATCTTGACATTGCAAATAACAGTAATTCATAGCTTTAACTTAAAGGCTGAGTAGATGGGAAGCCATATAGTAATGTCGATAATGTCATATGGTGATTATACTGCTGCAAAATAAATATTTGTTTTTCTCTGAGCATGTCGCTTATCTTGTTGTAATTTGTAGACTGTACACTATAAAGTGTCATTTTAATGATGGATTGATTAATAAGACTTTCCTCCTTGGTACTGTGAAGCTTTAGTAAAAATTTCTGTTTTTGATGCAGAATATGAAATTTAATTTTCAAAAAGAAAACCACAATGTGAGGTTTTTGTGAGATCTTCAAGTTTAACATGAGCATTACTACATTTTCTTTATTTCTTTCTTTTTCAGGGCAGCCATCTCAAAAACCAAACTGCAAATTCTTCATGAAATATGCTGGCACCAACTCTCAACTTTAGCGCGGACTTATGTCTTTATTGTTTCTTACTGTCTAGAATATCGTCTCTATTTTTAAATAAGACACAGCTTGCAGCTGCCGACAGTGCCTATGTGTACTGGAAGGAAGACCACAGAGTTCATGTCTCATTCAGATGAGTACAGTGGTTCTCCTGCTTCCTTAGGTGACCTGTTGGCACCTGTAAGCTGAAAAGTACAATTTCTAGTGATCAGTTGCTTGCTTATAGGACTTGAGGCAGATGAACAGCCTCTAAGCTAAAACAGACATGAAGTAATTATATTTGGTGAACAGAGTTCATGGAGGTAGGCCTAGGCCCACTGGGGCTGTAGTGCCAAGAGAAAAAAGAAAAGAAAAAAATATATTTGGCCTTTCCTGATTGCAGTAGCAATACTGTATCCTTCCAAGGGAAGAAAGAAGCCCTTGTTGAGCTGTAGACCAGTATGAAAGGCTGTAAAATTATACAAGCAACAGAATCAGAAGATGTACAGTCTACTGCAAATCATTGTAAAGCACCACTGATATATCACTGAAACATTTGTAATGTGTTATAAAAGTAACTTGGTTCATCCTGGTCCGTTGCACTAGTAAATGTATATAAGGTTTTTAACCACTGTCCAGTGTGATTGATAAAAGTCGTTTTTAATTTTTTATACTTTACATGTTTTGGTCAACACGACCATCTTCAGAAGGATTATTATCAACACGTATGGAAACTACTGTTTCATGTTATTACAGTTAGTCTGTTTACAAAATAATGTTCGGTATTTGTTTTAAACTAGAACCAATGTGGTTTCTTGTCCTTACACTTTTGTAATAATTTTAGATGTTTTAACAAATCGCTGCACATCTTAATATTAGTTAAATGATATAACATATATCTGTGACATAACAGTAGTTTCCGTACGTGTTGATAATATCCTTCTGAAGACGGTCATTTTGACTGAAACGACTTTTATCAATCGCACTGGACAGTGGTTACAAATCTTACATGTGGTTATAAAAGTCCTGTGTTTAATCCACATGCAGATGATGAAGAGTCTTCTGTAGGTATACAAAAACTCAAAAGACACAGAGACTCGGCCAATAATGTCAGGCCATGAAACTGTGTAAAACTGATCTTAAGGCATCTTCTTGGAGGTGGTGATAATGATTTGAACCCAAAATGAATATATCAGTCGATGCTGAACATTATCTGAAGTCTGAATTGTAATCCTGATGTGCTACTAATCTTCACTTAAGAAGGTACACGAACAGACTACAGGTGTTCCCAAACTTGCATTTTTCTTGATATCAGTAATGCATAACTGTAAGCTGACAACCTCAGTCACATATATTCCAGCCACCTAATTATTTAAGACAGTTACAGTATGTTTTAGTCTTTGTTAATAGAAATTAACTTGAAATCACCTTATTACAAAAGTTGTTACATTTGTGTATTTCCTCATGAAATAGAGATTATAATTTAAAGCATGTACACCTACTCCATTAGGTGCATGCAGAATATGTTGTTCAGTTAGTGCAGTTACTTGCAAGGTTGGAATTATGTGTGGAGTTGAATTTAGTTTGTAACATTCTCACTCAGAGCAGTCTGCTTGTGGTAATTGATGGTCATTACTATCCGTCCTTACCATAGGTAATTAATTTTTCAGAAAATGGTTTTCAAACAAAAGGTATGACACACCTATCAATAGAAACTGAAGATTTTGTTTATTGGTCAGTATCCTGTTGAGAAAGATAACAATAAAATAGTTTTGCTTGGTGTAGTATTTAAATGTATATCATCTTTAGGAAAAATGATATAAAAATGCTTAAATTTCATGATATGTTTGTATGCACTCAAAGTTTCACTGTAAACTTGAGGTGGCCGTGTGCAGTTGGAGCCCAGGCAGGGCCACTGAAGTGTCAGGCCCGTAGCTTGAAATGGTTGCAATGGTAGACTTGCAATTTCTTATTAATTTGTACAGATTTCCTAACAGACTCACTACTTTGATGAAGACTTGTTCAAACAACGCTCTGACAAATTTATTTCATTATGTAATGTAATTCATCTGTACTGATCACAGTTCAGTTTAATCAGTACAGCACAATTACTGTATGGTTGTAGTGTGTCAATATTTCTTGTTCATATAAACAGAAGTACAGTCAGCTACAAGCACCAGTGTTACATGCAAGATTTCAGATATTCATGGCAGTGATCATGAGGAAGTTGGAAGTGACGCTGTGTAGGTGGGTAGGAGTCCACCAACATTTAGGAGGAACGTACTGCCACCTTCATAAGGGTAGACTTCTACTACATACATTCTATCACATGCTAACAAAGCTTCTGAAATGTAATGCTCTGTAATTTGTTTTAACCAACATTGCAGACAAATATACGGGGGCAAATCGAAAAGTCTTTGCCCCTATTTTTTTTTCAGACACAATAATACACATACAGGATAATCAAAATACAGGCAGTGTTCTAAGTACCTTTGACTATTTTTCCACATAGTCACCACCCCGGTTCAGGCTTTTGTCCCATCGCACCACTAGTTTGGAGATGCCGCTGTTGTAGAATTCTGCTGGTTGAGCGCAGAACTACTGCCGGACAGCAGTTTTTGTGTTGTAGGAAATGAACCTCTGGCCTGCCAGAAACTTTTTCAGTGGACCGAACACATGGTAATCACTGCGGGCGAGGTCTGGGCTATATGATGCATGCTCCATAATCTCCCATCCGAATGACTGCAGTCGTTCGGTGGTCCTGTTTGCCACATGAGGCCTGGTGTTGTCATGGAGGAGAACCACAACATCCATGAAAATCCCCAGGAGTGACTGCAGTCATTCGAATGGGAGATTATGGCGCCAGCACCGTGTAGTCCATACCTCACCCCCAGTGATTACCACGTGTTCGGTCCATTGAAGAAGTTCCTGGCAGGCCAGAGGTTCATTTCCGACGAAGTGAAAACTGCTCTCTGCTGGTGGTTCTGCTCTCAACCAACCGAATTCTACAACAGCGGCATCTCCAAACTAGTGGCATGATGGGACAAATGCTTCAGCCGAGGTGGTGACTATGTGGAAAAATAGTCAAAGGTACTTAGAACACTGTCTGTATTTTGATTTCCCCGTATGTGTATTGTGGCTGAAAAGAAAAACTGGGGCAAAGACTTTTCGATTTGCCTTCGTACTTCCTCAGTCTTCAGGATGGAAAATTGAAGCTGAAGGCATTGTGTTCCTCTGAAATGTCATTAAACTTGTACCAACCTACACAGTATCATATCCCATATCATCAGCCAAATGAAACTGCTGCTTGTGGATGACCTGATTTCATATTGTGACTTCAGACATCTGTACCTATGCAATCTAAATGTCTGATATCTGGAGTCATCCTAAAGATGGAGGCACACATTCCACCAAAACGTTAGTATCCACCTATCAGACTGCAGCGTGGTGTGTTTCACCAGTACCCTGGTATCCGCATGCCAGACTACAACACAGTGTTACAGCACACAGCGTCCCCACCAAGGAACTTGATGATCATACAGCTTTCCAGCTTTGTCAGGAAAGTTACCTCAAGGACTTGTAGCTGGGATGGGGGAACACAAATACTTTTCATTTCCTTGCATCCTGTTGTGTTATTATATATACAATTCTTTATTGGAGTCTGTCGTAACACAACTACATAACGGTTGAGGTTAAAATTACCTAGCTACATGTTTCAGCTTTTTAAAACCATCATCAGGCAAAGCACATGATTACTAATTCTGTCTGAATATAGTAATCATGTGTTTTGCCTGATGATGGCTTTAAATAGCCGAAACATGTAGCTGTGTAATTTTAACCATGACCGTTATGTTGTTGTGATATGACGGACTCCAGTAAATAATTGAACACAAGTACGTACAATATTTATGTTGGAACATGCTGGAAAGAATCCACTTGGCAAAACAAAAGTGATGGAAGGAAGATATCAAACCAGATCTTGACGAAACTGGGTATAAGACTGTGGATCATGATGTGTCCACTGGTGGGCTTTGGTATTAGCAACATTCATCCTGCAAGGGTATGCTGACAAGTAATGTCTCCGTAAGACAGTGGTGAAAATGTAGTTGTGTCCTGCCAGTCTTACAGAAGTACAGGTACTCCTTGGTATATGCAAGTTGGAAACATGTTTCATTTTAATGCAGTCAGTTAATTTAGACCTGTAACACTTGCTTTAGTATGAAGTAATTGCTGGCCCATCAAGAGAGGTCAGAAGAAGGGGGGGATTAGGATGCTGTGCAGGTGTGGAGGAGGAATGCACGGGGAGAAGAGAAAGTTCGGCCTACCTGATATCATTTATGTCATTGCACCCCGTGACTCCTTTTGGGAATACAACTAATGCATTAATTGACGAATACCTGTGCAAGAAATATGTAAGCTGTGGCTGGACTGCAGAAGTGGTTGTTTGAGGTAATTGTATAAAATAGGGAACAAAGTTCAAGGAAGGTAGCCATTTCTGTTTCAATGAAATTGCTGTTATGGAAAAGAAATTGGGAGTCATTACTTTCAGCATGTCCTTGTACAAGCTCTGTCACCAGGAGGAGACATATACACTTCCCAATGAAATATCCCACATTGTGATTGGAATCCATATTTAAATATTTGTTGCTTAACCTTCAGTGGCGTCCTGCGTACAGAGGACACTTGCCATTGTATCACATCACTGCCTGGAACACAGAATTCCTATGGCAGCCATAACTTGTCTCTTAACAGTAATATTATATTAAAAGTGCCAGTTTTTTATAACAGTTCAGAAAAAAATGCTGTAAGCTCTCTATTAATGTATGGCTAGTCAATTTCCTGTGGCATGTAACAAATACTGTGTACATCAGAAATAAAAATGCCCTACTTTACCTTTTTAACTACAGTGTAAACCTCACGTTAAACACAAGAGCTGAAGCTTCCATGGCAGCTGCAGTGGCTGAAATCTGCTCTGGCTTTCAGCCGTGTCAGTTGGATAAATATCACCGATGTCGCACGGACCATCTCTCTCCCTATCACTGAACATGGCTGATAGCCCAGGAATATTTTATCAGCTTATGTCACAGATTTTTTCCTTTAAAACAGAGTTATGAGATCACATTGCTGTCTGTGTATGCTCCCTTCCCTGAACCTATTGAGCCATGACTGATGTATCATTAAAATATTCCTACAGGTAAGTCAGTTACAGTGAGTAGAAAGGAAACATGACATACGAACAAGTATTTTGCAGTAATGCTGCCGCTGCTACTGCTGCTTGGGCTACTAACAAGGGTGATGGCAGTTTTCTACGGGTAGTGAGTAAAGTCTTCAAGAAGCACCACTTTACCACCCACATTAATCTAGACCCATCAATACATTTTTTCCTTCATATTTTACGACTACAAAAGCTATGGAAGAAGCTAAGCAAAATTTCCGCAATCAGGAACTAAATTAAGAAAAAACGGTACTTTACGTTTCAATGGTTTTCGGTTAGCAGAAAAAGCCGATACTTTTGTTTTGATGGCCTACGGTTATCAGGAAAACCTGGTACCTTGAACGACTTTCAGGAGTACAGTATTGATGGCAAATGAGGAATTAAATTTAAAAATCCCGGTACTTTTCGTTTTAATGGTCTTCGGTTATTTGGAAAACCCGGTGGTTATTCTGAAAACCCGGAGGTTATTTGGAAAACCCGGAGCAAGACATTCTTTGATCACATTTTGTGAATACAGCAAGAAATGTAAACAAAACCCGGTTACTTGGAAAACCCGGAAGGTTTTTCTGAAAACCTGATTGGTTTTTTGTGAAAACCCGGAGGTTATTTGGAAAACCCGAAGCAGGGCAGTACTTTTGCAGATTTTGTGCATACAGCAAGAAATGTAAACAAATCCCCGGAACTTTTCGTTAACACCGGGTACTTTCCGTTGCACCGCGGCAAAATGTAAACAAAAACCCGGTACTTTCCGATGCACCGCGGCAAAAAGTAAACAAAAACCAGGTACTTTCCGATGCACCGCGGCAGGAACACGAACATGCAGAAGTTACATGACCATGACTGATGAGTAGCCAATCAGCATTAAGGGGCGGGGCCACTTCAGTGGGAACAGTAAGCCAAACCACGCCTTCGGGGGAGGTCAGAGGTGTTATCATCCAACCCCCTCCCCCCCAATGACGTAGACTAAGTAACCAACCAATATTAAGGGGCGGGGACACATGAGTCCACATGAATTCTGGGCATAGTTCACTATAGGTACAGCTGGAAATGTAAACAAAACCCTTAATTTTTTGATGTAATAACCTTCAAGGACAATCAAGAACAGGAGTTGTTGCAGCTCTGGGCATTTCCCCACAGATGTTGCTTTATTTCCAAAAAATGAGTTACAATAGCCAGTAAGCATCAAGGGTCTGGGGCCAAGTCTATGTACAAATACATGAATGTAGTGCTAAATGCAAATATTTCGAAGATACAAGAAATGTATATATAACCCTGATTGTTTTGAGCTTATAACCTCTAAAATCTTCAAGAGCACATTTCAAGCCAAAGCTGTGAACTTTCTGACGAGGATTAAACATCACTGCCACAGTTGAACATTTATCTCCTAGATAAATCCCCTAGATGGGGATGAGCTTCGTTTCTTCAATTAGCCATTTTTGCAAGCCAACTGGTCAGTTCTCATCCTCTCTGTTCATCTGATTTACACTGAAGGCAAGCTTTGGACCCCATACAAAGAAGAGTACGAAACCTCATGACTGAGGTGCACAAGGAAATGGTGCTTTACCCCTGGGATTTAGGTGGTTGTGGTCAACCAGTTAGCTGATGCCTCACAGGAGACATACAGAATAAATGATACTCCCCAGGGCAGACATTTCAGCTTAAATTAAAAGAGTTTTTAAACGAGGACTGACCACTTGGCTTGCACAGATGGTGAATCAAGGAAACAGAGTTTATCCTCATATCCTGTCTAACACATAAACGTTCAGCCGCAACACTCCTCAGTAATCCTGTAGCTATAAATGTACTCTTGAAGGTATTTTGGAGGTTACAAGTTCAGACAGTTCAGGGGGGTGTTTACATTTCTTGCAATTAGCACTAGATTCATGTATATTAACTTGGCTCTGACTGTTGATGTTGATTGGCCACTGCATCCCCTTCTTCGGAAATACAGCTACATCTGCAGCCAAACTATCAAATCCCAGGCTGAAAGCTTGTGGCTGCTGTTTCAGTACTGTGCTCTTGAAGGTTGTTGAAGGTTACTGAAACAAAAAGTACAGGGTTTTGTTTGCATTTCCTACTGTACCTGCAAATCGTGCATTAAGTATTAATTTCATGCACATTAACTTGGCCCCACCCCTTCATAATGACTGGTTACTTTATTCTATTCCCATCCACATGGACTTGAACCCATGTTCTCGTGCATACAAGCCTTACCACTGAGCTAACGCTTGTCATGACTGCTGTATTCAGTACAGGTTAAACAGTTTGGTATATTCAGTCTTGAGCTTTATACAGACCATTCATATTAAGTTGTGTAACACGACTGGTCTTGTAAGGATTTATTCTACATTCATTCTGATCATTAAGTGCACTTCAAACAGTCAGGCTCTGAGGATATTTGTAAATTCACTGCACATGTAATTTTATAAGCAAATTCAACCAGTAGATGTGTGGGTCTCAGGGACAGAGCAGCGAACTTACCTTCTGAAGGTTCCATGTTCATGTCCACGGGGAATGTGACTGCAGCTTTTTATGCGTTGAGGTGAAAGCATTTTTACTTACCTCCATAAACACAACCAACATGTATTCTTTCAACATGCCACTGAATTTTAATGTTTTGGTGTTCTGAAATATTCAAGATAGGTTTTAAAAAAGGACAAGAATTTCCAGAATTTATTCCCAATCCAATTACTTTTTCAACGTTATTCATCCAACACATTACAATTCTTAAATATTTTAAAATTATTTGTTAACTGTATTTACAATGTCAATCTTCTAGCAGAAGTTGTTTTGTATGTTCTCATATACTTCATTTTATTTGCACCCTGTACATATCCTGAGTGCAGTGCTGCACTAAGCACAGGGACAACTTTGTTTTTATTTCTTTATTGTTTGTATTACGGCCATCAGCACTCAGCTGGGGTCATTCAACTCCAGTCATTCCTGACAGCATGCTGTAAAGCAGAAATATGTATCGGCAAGGATGAAGGCTGAACTAGTTGGCTGCGTTGTCATAGATGCACAGAGTCTCAGGTGACCTCAAACTCTGTTCATGACATTAATGTTCTGCCCATATTGACCCGCATTTTCCTGTGACAACGCAAGGCTTGTACCAGATCAAACTCTCCTGCACCAGAGGAGTCGACTGACCTGTACGGATCTATCAAATAAAACCCTCGATAATGTGCGTAAAATTCTTATTTCCTCTTACATGTGTCATCTGTATCTGTACAGACATCCTTTGGGTGTACACGTGACAGGTTGCCCTAAAACATGAAGCAAAGACATAATCGGCTCTGAAGAGTGTTTATTACAATAAATTACAAATATCCCACCCAGAAGGATCCAAATATCCTCACAAACATCAGAATGTTTATATTTGCTTCAGTGTATATAATTTTTGGATACAATGAATGTAAAATATCTTGCAACAGTAAGTCCTAAACTGCCAAACATTCTATGGATTACGTTACAATTCAACAAGGTGATTCATATTGCTTTCACTATGCTGCAACCCATGTCTTTAACATAACCAAGTTATGGCAGTCATACTTCCATAAACTTCTATTACAGAATTCTACAACAATACGATGCCTAAACTATCCACTATGGCTTGTCAGATTATTGAGGAATTAGCTGTCAAGAAATTTCTAACTGTACCAATTAGAAAAATGCCTTAACATCTCCCCACCAACCCCCAAAGCTGCAGCAGTTCCTATCCAATTTATACTTACAATTACCTCTGGAATCAGACAGCAACTTACATATCTTACACAGACATTCTGAGTACCATGTTTGATTTGATGTTTTCATGGCAATATCTATAAGGAGTTCAGGGTCCTGCATTGTAGTAACATGTAGTTTGGAGATGGCCCAATGTTTAGGACGAATATGTCACCTCCAAAACGTGGGGCTCTCTCCGAAATACACATTGCTACAACTCAGAACGCTATACTCTTCATTCCAAGTACCAGCTGTAGACTCCTCACTGTCGCCATACAATTCAGAAGTATCAACAAACACAGACACGCAACTCTCAGTTCTCAATTCCTACAACTAACTCCCATGTCAAATCAAAACCAACTGTTATCTACTCATGACTGTGTATTCCCTGTATGTGCAATTACAATGTATACTCTCTAAGTAAACAAGTCTTCGTCTAAGATCTTCCATAGGAATATGGCTGTAACCACGAAGATTTCAGTCTTCGTGGGATGTGACACCATGTAGTCTGGTAGAATGTTACCAACATTTCTGAGGAATGTGAGGCCTCCGTCTTCATGGTCTTATCACTTTACATGTTCCTCCAAAGTGGTGATAACATTTTACCAGTCTACATGGCCTCACATCTAAAAAGATAACAGTTACTGTCAATTAATCCAAATTGTCACATGCTGATGCTGTATGCAATTATGAGAGCCACAGTTTACAGGATGAGTTTTGGGAAAGAGATATCACTGACTGTACTTTATTCGATAAAAACTAGCGAAAGAGAGGTAAGGTGCAAGCATACAGAGTCCATTTTACACATACACAAAAAGTTTACTAAATGTTTGTAACTTCAACACTTCTGTAAGACAGACCTCAACTGATGCCAATAAGCTTGAGACATCCAACAGAAGTGTGCGTCCGTCTGTTTATATAGTTTTTTCCCTCATATTCCATATACAGTGGAACCTCGCTTAA